ACAATCCAGCCAAGTATTGTGCGTTCCACCAGCAGCATAAATTTTATATTCTTAAATTATTAATATTGTTTCACTTTTAAAAAGTTAATATGCATTTGATTTGTTTAATTTAATTATGGGTGGCACTAATAGCCTTACCTTTTTTCTAAGGCCATCTCCAACGTTTACTTAAATCTGTCATTAAATTCAAATTTGATGAAAAAGGCTTAAAATGTGAGCTTCAACCCTGTTATCAAACAAATGAAAGAAGCGACAGATTTTTTATAAAATCAAGAGAGCGTTTAACCTTTTATCAAATTACACAAATGACTGTTGGTGGACGACTAGATAGACAACCTCTCGAACAACTGATTTTGAGTGAAAATTTACTCTTCACCGAACGATCGATAGAATTGATGAAAACTATTGACGTGCATCATATCATATCAAACTTTTTATCAATTTTTTACTCAAATTTTATAAAAGATTTGATGAACGATTAAGGATACTCTAAGTACCTCCATTTCTTTAAACTCCTACTTATAAACTTTAATTATTAAGAAAATTTCTAAGAACTCACACATAATATCAAAATTATCTATTCTTTAAATTATTAGACACTCACGTAGTTGCACACCACATAACAATTTGGACGCTCACTAAAACATAATCTAACTAATTCACACCCCCCATTTCACATATCAGGCAATAACCAAATTTGTAAAATCCCAAATTCCAAATTCTTGAATTGAATTTGAATACTATCCTCCAATTCCTCTTTTCTCTCTCTACATCTATCTATCTGTCTATATATATATATATATGTGCACACATGAACAAACCAAATTGTGAATTGATGGCTTCTCGTTCTTCTTCACCCCCAAAAGGTTTGAAATCACACTACATATTATGTATATGTATCCTATAATATGAAATCATTGATTGAAAAATTACAATTTTAGGGTTTGGTTCCTCCGAATCGTATAAACACCTATTCTATATATTGGGAGCAGATCGTTGAGTATTTTTTTTTTTTTTTTTTGTTCTAGGGTTAGGGTTTTCTCTCTCCTAGGGTTTTTTCTTTACTTTATGTGAAATCTGAATCTTAAGCACTACTGATTCCGATATATTATTAGGGTGACACTAATAGCCATACCTTTTTCCTAAAGACCCTAATTTCTTTGAATCCTCATTTCTATGTTGTTTTTGTGAGGATGGTTGTTCCATTCTAATTTGTATGAATTATAGTAACTTTAATTGAGATTATAATTGCCATTACAAAAATATCAATAGGTGGAGTCCTTAGAAAAAAAAAAAGATGGAATTATTAGCACCACTCTTTAATTATATCAGAATGCAACAATTTGCTTCAATTAGTTTTTTTTTTTTTTATAATTATTCAATTAGTAATAAATACTAGGAAAAATTATTTATAAGTCCTATTAGGGAGACTTATGCTACATATAGTTCTACTAAAAAACTTATGTTCCCATAAGTCCTGTGTGAAGTTTGTTGACACATTTACCCTCAATATTAGTTGTTAATATCATAAATAATGGTAAAATCATATATAGGAAATTAAATGTTACCATAGATTAAGTTTGCGAAACGTAACGTGATACTTACATAAACGTAACGTAACGTGACCATATCAGATGGGACATTACATAAACGTAACGTGACGTGACACCTACATAAACGTAATGTGACGTGACACATACATAAACGTAACGTAACGTGTCACGTTATGTTTCGCAAGCTTATTAGATTTTTGATTTTTTTAATTGAATGTGAAAATGTTACTTTCGATGGTAACACTTAATTTTCTATATATGGTTTTGCCATTATAGTGTATAATAGTATATTAATATCATTTATTTACAACTCATAGGATCTTGTGGAATACATTCCTATCTAAATAGGACTTGAGACTCTATAAGAAATTACACAGGACTTAATATAGCATAAGTATCCGAAATAAGACTTATAAATAAGTCTCCCAATATACTATTATGTTTAATGAGTATTTTTGAAACAATTAGTTATATTTATTGAGGGGCATATGAATATCTGCCTATTGTGGACGTTATTTATTTAATTTAGTTGTATACAAAACAATTATTTGTTTTACTTGGTGGCATTTTATATTGTATTAATTCATTGTGTTTTGTTAGATGGTATGTAAATATTGGGAAATTCTCTTGTACATAATCTTATCACAAATTAACATAATTTTATCACAAAATTTCGTAACAATCACAAAATGTGTAACCACATCATAAATTAGCGTAACAAAACTTTTGTTACATGAACACAAAATTTTACACATTTTATAACACTAATTTATGACTAGATTACGTATATATTTTGTGATTGATATTATAAAATTACATCAATTATGATAGGATGCATATGATACACACCCTTAGAAGGGTTCCCAATATTTCTCCCCTGATCTATCCCTTTATTATAGGGCAAAGTGCATTAATACCCTCAATTAATCACGTATGTCGACATATATTCCTTTTGTTCCAAAATATCAGATTCTTATTTCATTTTTTATTATCTAAAAATATTAGTCTATTTTTAAAAATTAATGACTAAAATAACATAAATTTTCTATTTTGTCATTCTTTTAAATTTATTAACATTTTTTGAAATGTAATAATTACAAAAGAATAATTTTGGAAAATTAATATTTTTTTAGGTGTAATGATTGTTGTTGGAAAAATAAACTCTGTATAAAAAAAGCTTAGAGCAAAGACAAGGCACATCCAGTATGCTTTTTTTAAGATAGTAATTTCTCATCTATTACACTTAAAGGTCTTTTAGAAATTATATCTCTAGGATACAATGTATTATTTTAGAAAATAATACTAAGGTTGTATTCCTTAGTTATTTTTTTAAACATGAACCTCAATCCAGAAAATCAGAAGCAGAAATAGATAAGGAAAAACAAATATCTATGAGCTGTTGATAAGAGTTCCTTTTATGAAACTGTAATGTTGTGTTTGGTTGGGGGATTTGGGGAGGAATTTGGAAATGGAAAGGGAAAATGTGTGTGAAACTATGTGAAATGTAGATATATTTTATTCACATTTCACCTAACTTTTCCCTTTCCCTTTCCAAATCCCTCTTCAAATCCCCCAACCAAACACAGCGTAACAGACACCAATCAGTGAAGGAATGTATAATTTCTTATAAATATTGTCTAAAATTCAAATGTTTGAACATAATTTCTTATAAATATTGTCTAAAATTCAAATGTTTGAACTTGTCTAACGTACGTAAACCGAATTTCGGTCAGGATTCTAATTTGAAATCTTTAACTATTTTTATTCAAACAGTATGAACTGTTTGTTTGAATATTTTATTTATATATCTATATAATAAGGGAGAAGGGATTTTGAAAATATGTAAAATGTATGAGAGATACATTTTATTTTAAAGGCTCAGATCAATTGTGATACACATCAATGGTTGAGATTATTCTTCAATTCCCGCCCAAACGCTCGGTGCTCTCTCCCACCTACCCACGTCTCCTCCCCCATTCCATCTGTATCTTCTCTCTGTTGCACGTCCCTCTTTGTTCCTTTTCTTTATCTTTCCCACAGACACTACCTCTCTCCTTCTCTCTCCCCCGATCTCTGCCTCTCCCCCTCTCCCCCCACCCTCCCACTCGATGCCTCTTCCCCTCTCCCCCCTTTCGCAGAGACGCTACCTCTCTCCTTCTCTCTCACCCGATCTCTGCCTCTCTCCCTCTCCGCCCACCCTCCCACTCGCTGCCTCTCCCCCTCTCCCCCCTTTCGCAACCCTCCCACTCACTTTCTGAAGGCTAGGGTTTCCGATTAAGAACCGCGATACCTCTCTGAACCCCGATTGGAGCTCTCCGGTAGAGCTACTTCAGAGCTACACCAAACCTGAGGCTTCTATCTGTGCAAGGTAATGTTTCTGTCTCTATTCCTCTTCTCTCTCTATTCACGGTTTTGGAGGTTTTGTGAATGATACCTCCAACTTGGGTAATGTTTCTGTTTTTTTAACAGTTATGTTTGATTATGTGTGGTTCAATTTTCAGGATTTTAACAATGTTAATTAGTCTAGAATTTTTTGTTTTTGTTTTGTGCAAGTAGATTTCATGTTAATCTTTCAGTGGTTTTACTTAATAGTAGTTAAGAAATTAAGCATACTGTATAAAAAAGATGATTCTTGCACTTTATATCAAAACTGTAAATTTGGGGATTGTAGATGATTCGTGTATGTGTTTTTTTAAAGTAATCGTTCAATTCGTAATTTGGGAATTTATTGATATTATTATTCTTTGATTTTTGGGTATGAAAGAGGAAAGAATTTAATAGTTATCACGTGTGCTTTAGTTATGATGTTTGTGCTATCAGTCCCATTTCATTCATGGATACAAAAAATAAAAAAATTGAAATTTTCTGCAGCCCAGGTATCTGAGTAAACTTCTTCCGGATTTCGCACCAAATCAACCAGAATCATTGCAAGATGTTCTCAGTGGTGAAGTTTCTTAATCCTGTGCATACTTTTAAACTATTTCATCAAGAGGCCTAAAAATTAAACAGAAAAATGTTTAATTGCATACACCATATCAATGTATATACCAACCAACCAAACTAAGTAATGTGTCCCACTCAAATGAGGTTGGCAACATGAATCCTTTCTTCGCTATTTTAATTGTGGGTGCAGATGTCCAGTCAAAGATCTTACCAGGGGTAACCCATTGGCAAAGCCCGGATTATTTTGTATATTTTCCCTCTAATAGTAGTATCACTGGATTTTTAGGAGAAATGCTCAGTGCTGGTATTAACATGGTGGGTTTTAGTTGGATAACTTCTCCTGCAGCAACAGAACTTGAAATGATTGTCCTGGATTGGCTTGCTAAACTTCTTAAGCTTCCTGATGATTTCCTTTCAACAGGTATAGTTTGCTATGTCTATATGTATTAGCATTTGAGAGAGTTCATTGGTTTCAGTCCAAGTAACTCCCTTGGTTTCTCTGTGTGTATTTGACAGTGCTTTGTGTTTTATGTCTTTTATTACAAGGGAAAGAAGAAAGAGAAGAGAGTTCATCATCTGGGCTGAAAACGAGGAATTCTTGGGATTTCTTGGCTGCTCCAAAGCCTGACATTTCAACTGGAATACACAGATTGGTGAAGACTTTCAAAAACTTCACTCAATTATTTGGTAAGTGGATTATTAGATAACCAAACTCTCTCCTTCTTTTTCTCTTGAACTAATTTATAATTTATGAACTTATTGAAGATACAATATTGATAGAAATAGTGAAAAAAATCTATAGGTATGTGACTATAGATGAAGCTCATGGGAAGAAACTGTTTTATTACTTTGTCCTCTCCGAAGCAAAACCCTCCAGTGATCCAGTCGTCCTCTGGCTCAATGGTGGCCCTGGCTGCTCTAGCTTCGATGGATTCGTCTATGAGCACGGTATTGATTCCATCAAATTCATTTTTTACTGCACTTATTTCATATGATTTTTTTTTCTTTTATTTGTTTTTTTGGGAAAACTTGATTGTGAAGCTATAATCAAAGCAATTAATCACATACTTATAGAATTTAATGTATATAATCAGAGCATATGATTGATTTATAGAATTTAAAGAATTTAATGTATATAATCAAGCTTTGATTATATAAAATTTGTTTAAGTATGTGATTGATTTAAAGCAATTTCATATTTTTTTTGTGTGTATATAATTTACGGTTTTTGTGTTTGTTTTCCTTCCTTTCCTCTTCTCTCTCTGTTTTTTTTTTTTTGGATTTGTTTTTAAAATTGCTTTTTTTGGGATTGAGAGCAATTCTTCCAATGGAGGGAACATACCCAGATCTAAGAGCTTTGAATTGGGCAGTATCTATGGCGTTGGTTCATCATATTTAATACCTCTGAGACCTTTGAATTGGGCAGTATCTAAGAGCTTTGAATTTTTTAATACCTCTGTCAGTCTCATTTTTCTTCATCATATTTAATTTTTTTTACTATTGATTTACATGTTAGAAATTCAAAGCAAAAAAAAAAAAAACAGCTTTGAATAATCAGAGCATATAATCAAATACTTATTATTATATTGTTACAATATAATAATATACACACATCTCATACACGGATTATATGTGAAAAAACATGCTCTGATTAGTATACTAATCACATATAATCACATATCAACTTTGAAAAACAGCTTTCAATATAATAATAAGTATGTGATTATATGCTCAGAGCTTTTTTTTCAAAGCAAAGCTGAAAGCATGTTTTTTTTAAGTAGAATCAAAGCTGAAAGCATATAAATTCTATTGGAAGCTTTGATTATATGCTGATTATATGCTCTGATTATATATGATTGATTTAAAGAATGCTTTGATTATATATTAATACATTAAAATAAAATATATACCAATTAATACATGCAACCCCACTCTTTTCTCTTTCCTTAACCGTAAATTACACGCAACAAGTGGTCTCTACCAGGGCTGTTTTCCTTTTCTTTCTCTTGCCTTTTAAGCAAACAAACAGACTACTACTTGGACCAGCATCACTCAGTCACTCAACTCCACATCATTTTTTATTTTTATTTTATATAGTTCTCATAATCAACAATGGTATGCTTATTAATTGAAACAAATAACAACAAGCCTCTCTCTGTGAAAACTAGAAGCCATGGCCAAGATTACTAATGTAGTCAACACAGTGAGAGTCCTAACTTACATTGTCCTGAGCTTGAGCTTTGTGTTGATAGAATCAGCACCTGAAGGTGCACTGGTCACACAGGTTCCTGGTTTCAATGACACTTTTCCTTCCAAACACTATTCTGGGTATGTCCCTTTCCTATTCATGATTGTCCTTGATTGTGATGGGTCTTTATTGGTATTTCTATTTGTTCTTTAATTGGTGTTCAATTTTTATAGGTATGTGACTATAGATGAAGCTCATGGGAAGAAACTGTTTTATTACTTTGTCCTCTCCAAAGCAAAACCCTCCAGTGATCCAGTCGTCCTCTGGCTCAATGGTGGCCCTGGCTGCTCTAACTTCGATGGATTCGTCTATGAGCACGATATTGATTCCATCAAATTCATTTTTTACTGCACTTATTTCATATGATTTTTTTTTCTTTTATTTGTTTTTTGGGAAAACTTGATTGTGAAGCTATAATCAAAGCAATTAATCACATACTTATAGAATTTAATGTATATAATCAGAGCATATAATCAGAGCATATGATTGATTTACAGAATTTAAAGAATTTAATGTATATAATCAAGCTTTGATTATATAGAATTTGTTTAAGTATGTGATTGATTCAAAGGTATTTTCTTTAATAAATATTTGTGAAATAAGTTTTTTTTTTTTTTTTTTTTTTTTTTTTTTTTTTTTGGTTTTGTTTTTAAAATTGCTTTTTGTGTTTGTTTTTAAGTACCATGTTTTCATGAATTAGTCAATACATGAATTTTAGATTTGTAGGTGTTTATAGATGTTATAAATATGGTTAGTTTTGATGCTCATTTTCTTTGGAAAAATTCACATTGATTGAAGTTTGTAATTTTTTTATTTACCAGTGTGAACTCTTCCAGATTGAGGCATGAGTTATAGTTATAAAGGTAAATTCATGATTTAATTATTGAGCTTCGTTGGAGGTTTTATTTAATATGATTTGAATTTTTTGGCTAGGGGATCATGTATATTTTTTTATCTGAATCAAAATATTATATTGTTTTTTTATTTTTATTTTTATCATTTATATTTATTTTGTATTTTTTAACCTTTATAATTAACAATGTTTCCAACTGGTTTGTTTTCTTGATGGGAACTCAAAGCAACATATTCATCCAAAAATGTATATTAAACAAAAGGTAAACTTTAATTGCTTTTTGAATTTAATTATGTGTCGGTTTACAATCTTAAAAAATTCTTATCCATTATAACGTTTAATCATGTTCCAATTAATAATGTAACTTTTCTTTTTCTATGAAATACATGTCTCACATTCCTTTTTTTGGGTTTCCATTAAACAATACCCTCAATGAGTTAGAAGAGTATAGGAATAACCTAAACTCTTACATTAGAAAAAAAATACACAGATACTCTCCAGGTTTTGCTTTAAAGTTAATGATTTTGAAACTATTTTAATTTGTTGGGGTTTGATGGGTTTTGATTTTTGAAATTTGAAATGGATTTGATGGGTTTTATTCGTAGAAATCTGTAGAAATTCGCAGTCATTTCGCTTGAGACATCACCCCCGGGAACAAGTTTTCCGGCTTCGGCGCTTTCCGGCACATCCCCGTGAGTTATTCTCTCTATCTCTCCTAGAAATGTGTATAGATATATGAATCTATAAACATATGAATTTGTGAGCAGAAATGGTATGCTCTCTCTATGTCTCTCTCTTATTTTGCTTTCTATGGATATCTATGAAACGCCATGAAATTATTGTTGTATTTTTGTTATCAAAATCAGACCAAATTGAATAAAAGATTCTGCCATGAATACTTTCATCCCATGAATACTTAAACTTTCATCGGATTTTAGATTTAGATTTTAGATTTTTCAAACAACCCATTGTTTTTTCAATGTGTTGGGTTAGTTTTAGGTTTTTTTATCAGTTCAAATATTTAAAATTTCATCAGATTTTAAACTTTCATCCCATAAATATGTCGAAATTCCACCATAAATCGGCTCATAAATCAGTAGTTTCATCATATTTTTATCAACCCATAAATCAATAGTTTGTACCAAAAAAATTATATCATGTTTGGTTGGAAAGAAAGTGGGGGAAATTGGTTGTGCATTTGATGATGGCTGTATTCCATCGTATTTTCAATGTGTTGAGTTAGTTTTATTTGGGTTAGTTTTATTTAGGTTTTCTATGCCATTGTGTAATATTTGATAGTTTTACTTGGGTTTTTTTCTTGCTGCACTTCCTTGCTGCACTTGGTGCAGAAACTTTTATCTGATAAAATTTCTGCCATGAACACTTTCATCCCATGAATACTTAAACTTCCATCAGATTTTAGATTTTAAAATTTTCAAACTTTCCATTATTTTTTAATGTGTTGGGTTAGTTTTTGATTTTTTTATCAGTTTAAATATTTAAACTTTCATCAGATTTTTAAACTTTCATCCCATCAATATGTCAAGTATTCCACCATAAATCAGCCCATGAATTAGTATTCCACCATAATCTGTAATTTCATTATATTTTTATCAGCCCATGAATTAGTAGTTTGTATCCAAAAAAATTATGTCCTGTTTGGTTGGTAAGAAAGTGGGGGAAATAGCAAAGAAAGTGAAATTTGGGCTAAATATTAGTTGGTGAGAAAATTATTATATAGATATATATATTTTTAGCTTTCTGAGAATGAAAAGAGAGTCTTCGTTTGAGAAGAGAGAAGAACGAGGGGACATCAGTTGGTGAGAGAGAGAGAGACAGTTGAGAAGATTAATGTTTTACAATCTTTGGGGGAGAGAGACTGAGGTAATAGAGAAGAGGAGAGAGTGGGTGAGAAAATTGAGAGATTGCAATTTGGGGAAGTGCAATTTATCTTGGGAAGATTTTTTTTATTAAAAATATAAAAAATGCTATATATTCTTAAAAAAATACAACTTTATAACTCTCACTCACCTATGATTGGTCCAGGAAGGAAATAAAAAAAATAAAAATATATGATTGGTTTACATCATTTTGGGAGTCATGGAGGTTCTTAATTTTCGGGGTTCCTGAAATTTATTTGGATTACTAATAAATTGGTGTTTCATTTAAGTTTCATGTTTTCATTTATGAATTTTTCTCCTTCCTATGAATTCATTACCTACTCTTTGAAAAGAAAAGAAAAAAAACAAAAAACAAAAAATTTGAATACATTCCTCTATAATTTTGATTTATATTTTAATCTCATAATTAATTGTACTGT